ACAACCACTCGCTGCAGAACACAGAGGAGGAACCAAAACGACCCCAGCCGCACCCGCCGCACACACGAGGTACCTTTCATCGCCGGCTGCAGCCACTTCACATGGAAAAACGCAAGGTTTCCCGCTCCGGCTGCCTCCCAAAACAAAGTCCATGCAACATTCATGCAGCCATTACATTGCGTTTCGCAGCATCACGTCGCAAACCTGCACGTATCTACGCACATGGCAACACCAGATGACAACAATCATGCAGCCATTCCAATGCGATCTGCAACCACAGATTCAAGAAACGCACAGGTATACCCACACAGGAACAACCACTCGTTGCAGAACACAGAGGAGGAACCAAAACGACCCCAGCCGCACCCGCCGCACACACGAGGTACCTTTCATCGCCGGCCGCAGCCACTTACACAGAAAAACACAAGGTTTCGTGCTCTGGCTTCCTCCCCAAAACAAAGCCCCATGCAACATTCATGCAGCCATTACACTGCGTTTCGCAGCACCACGTCGCAAACCTGCACGTATCTACGCACATGGCAACACCGTGATTTGGCTGTGTGTCCGTGTGCCCGTGTGCCCGTGGATTGCTCGTGTGCCCGTCTGCCCGTGTGCCCGTGGATTCCTCGTGTGCCCGTGTGCCCGTGGATCGGCCGCGTGCCCGTGTTCCCGTGTGCCCGGAGGGCCGTTAGGAGACCTATCTCGAGGATCTCCCCCGGCCACAGACGGAAAAACACAAGGTTTCGTGCCCCGGCTTCCTCCCCAAAACAAAGTCCATGCAACATTCATGCAGCCATTACACTGCGTTTCGCAGCATCACGTCGCAAACCTGCACGTATCTATGCACATGGCAACACCGGATGACAACAATCATGCAGCCATTACAAGGGTATTGTTATGTGATGTCAAGTCCCACACCACAGTCTCACCCTTCATTGAGTGTATTCTTATGTGATGTAAAGTCTCACACCACAGTCTCACACCACCCTTCATTGAGCGTACTTTTATGTGATGTGAAGTCTCACACCACAGTCTCACACCGCCCTTCATTGAGTGTATTGTTATGTGATGTGAAGTCTCACACCACAGTCTCACACCACCCTTCATTGAGCGTATTTTTATGTGATGTGAAGTCTCACACCACAGTCTCACACCACCCTTCATTGAGTGTATTATTATGTGATGTAGAGTCTCACACTTCTGTTTGTCCGTAACTCGGAAGATTGCTTCCCAACTCCCTTGATGAGTAGATAATCTTTTCTCTTATTAGATAATGCTGTATATTATCATATGTTACTATTTATTATCAAATATTCTTCTATTGTTTGTTAAATATTATATCAGCATATTATTGTATAATAGTTTTCTATATAGTAAAATATCATTGTATTTGATTGCTTATTGTCACATATCATGATATTATGATTAATTCGAATCGCTTCGCGACAAGAACCGCCCGCACCCAGAGAATTGGACAAAAAGAAAACGAGCCGGGCGCACTTGGCCCAACCAAAGCCGACTGGGGGCAAACTTGGCCGTCCTTGGCTTTAAGTTGGGCCGAACACTTCGGCCCAACTTGGGGCCCAATCAATGTGGGCAACATGGCCTTGAACCCCCTCCCAAAGCAAAAAAACGTTGGAACTAGAGGTAAAAATGCAAGCTTTCAGCGTGTCGCGCTGAGTCCGCAAAATTGGCCCGGGTTGGGCCCAGCTTGGGCCCGAGCTGCCCCCCAACTCTGTCCATCTTGGCTTGGAGCCAACTGGAGCCCAAGCTGGAGCCAACGGGTCAGGCGGGGCTGAAGTTGGGCCCAAATCGAATGGGGATGGACGCCCATTTGAAGCTATGTGATGCACATGGAGGTCCAGGTCACGTCCAAAATCGCGCAACTTGGAATCTTTGGCAACAGCTTCGCGCCAAGTTGGGCCCAACGGAGACACAACATGGGGAACATTGCTCAACACGAAGCGTCATCGATGCCCAAAGCCAGTGAAAACGCGTGCTTTGCACGAAACGACATCTGAACTTCCAAAAGTGGTCCAAACATGTGGTGTTTTTTAACATCTTGACATGGAAATGTGCTTCGCGCCACAACGGCATGCACTTTTCCGACATGAGCCCGGTGTGTTTTGTACATTTTGACTTGGAAATGTGCTTCGCGCCACACGGGCGTGCACTTTTTTGACATTTCAACTTCCAAGAGTGCTCCGAGAATGGTGTGCTTTGTACATTTTGACTTCGAAATGTGCTTCGCGCCGCAACGGCATGCACTTTTTCGACATCTAAACCTCCAAAAGTGCTCAAATGTGCATAGCACCACAAGGCCGTGCAGCTTTTCATCTCTCATTTAGCTAGATTAGATGGCTCCGCACCCGCCGCTTTAGCGAGCCTACTTTTCGACCCTCCGGAGAAACAAATCATCGGAAAAATTCAGTCAAGCGCGACTTTCCGACCTTTTCGCACACCTGCATCTTCTTTCTTCTCACTCTTTCTCTTCTCTGATCTTCTCTCTTCTGCTCTGCTCTTCTCTTCACTAACTCTTCCCACCTCTGCTTTTCCATCTCTCCATATTGTCGGAAGTTTGACTTCTAAACTTCCTTCGATATAGGATTTGTTTTGGTTTATTTATTCTTTATGGTTTAATATTCTCTTTTTTATATACTACTATTTATCACTTATTATTCTTACATGATTATATAATGAATATCATTTGTTATTTTCATATATTGTTTTTATTCTATGCCAGAAGTGCCGCACAAGAAGGCCGCGGAAGTTTCAAAGATAGGAAACCTATAGGAGAGCTTCGTTGTTGTGACTCATGGATGTCAGAGCGAACCCGCTGATGGATCGAAAGGTGGTTGGAGTGTCGAGCTATCTATCTATCGAGCTATCCTCTGTCTATCTGTGTTTCCATTTACCTGTCTATCTGTTCACGTATCTATCTATCAATCTACCATGTATCTATCTATCTGTCTATCTATCTGTCTAACTATCTATGTGTCTATCTGTCTGTCTATCTATCTATCTGCCTGTCTGTCTTTCTATCTATCTGTCTACCTATATCTATCTATCTGTCTATCTATCTGTCTAACGTTCATGTGCCTACATCTACCTGCCTATCTCTTGATCCAGCTTTCTCTCTGTCTACCTGTCTATCTACATATCTTCCTATGTATCTATCTGTTTATCTATCTATCTATTTATCTGTCGATCTATCTATATATCCATCCATCTGCCCGTCTACCTATCTGACCTCCAAGCAATCTATCGAATCTATCTTTCTGATCTATCTATCTATCTATCTATCTATCTGTCTATCTATCTATCCATCTATCTATCCATCCATCCATCTATCCATCTATCTTTCCACCTATCTATTTATCTATCTGTCTGTCAATCTTTCTTTCTATCTATCTGAATCTGTCTATCTGTCTATCTATCTGTCTTTCTGTCTACGTGTCTAAAGATCTATCTATCAATCTATCAATCTATCAATCTATCAATCTATCAATCTATCAATCAATCTATCAATCTATCAATCAATCAATCAATCTATCTATCAATCAATCAATCTATCTATCTATCTATCTGAATCTGTCGATCTGTCTATCTATCTGTCTTTCTGTCTACGTGTCTAAAGATCTATCTTTCTTTCTTTCTTTCTTTCTTTCTATCTATCTGTCTGTCTGCCTATCTATCTATCTTTATTTCTTTCTGTTTGCCTGTCTATCTGCAAGCTTGAAAAGGAAGCTATTCTGCGAGCTGCGAGACTTCCTTGCAATTTGCCACTTGAAAGCTGAAAAACAAAGCTTTTCTGCGCGACTTCCTTAATTTTAGAACTTCACAACATCAAATAGGACGAAATTCTGCGAGACTTCCTCATTTTGTGAAGTTGACAAGTTCAAAAACGAAGCAATTCTGCGAGACTTCCTTCAAAAATGACAAGGTTGAGTGCAGGGCTGACGGCGTCGTGCCATTGCGTTTTGCGATTTGCCCATCCGATCTCTCGAAAGTACCGCGCATGCCACGAAACAGTGACGCCAGGTCTTACGAAGAGCTGCACCTGTCATGCAAAATCATCTTACCAAAACAGACGATCTGATGCTTCAAAACGCAACCCTTCTCAGGAAATCTGCTCCCTGACCTGCTAACATACCTGACGGAGACACTCTTGCACTGCGCCTGCCACGCGAAATGCATCTGTGCAGATTCTCTTCAAATGCCCCACGCTTGTCATCGTTTTTGAAAATGTTAGAAAACCCTCACACTTGTAAAAGTGCTGCATCCATTGCGCCCGCCACGCAAAACGGGTTGTGAACGTCCAAAAGCGGTCAGAACATCTGATGTTTTTACCCTTTTGACTTCGACAACTTTCGACGTCTCAACTAGGTGCTTTGTACATTTTGAGTTCCAAATGTGCTGCGCGCCACATCGGCGTGCATTTTTTCGACATCTGAACTACCAAGACTGCTCCGACACTGAGGTGCTTTAGCATTTTGAGTTCGAAATCTGCTTCGCGCCACAAGGGCGTGCAATTTTTTATTTCTCATCTCCCCAGATGGCTCCACACCCGCCACTTTAGCGAGCCTACTTGCCGACCCTCCAGAGCCACAGAATATTCGAAAACACGGTGTTTCGCGACTCTTTTATTTTTTCCGCGCACCTGCGTCTTCTTTCTTCTGACTCTTCTCTGATTCTCTTTTTTCTTCTCTTATCTTCTCTGACTCTTCCCATCTCTGCTTTTTCATTTGTCTAATTGTCGGAAGTTTGACTTCTAAACTTCGACGATTTTTGTGTGTGTGATTGTATATGTTGTGAAACATGTTTATGTCATGATGATCATGCTGATGTATCATATACGATCTTATATATATATATTTTTTTCCGTGGACATGCATATACACGTGTATATGTCATCGTACATTTTTCTGTCTTGGACCATTTCCAGCAAGTTGGCACAGCCAAAACAACGCCGTGTGTTTTCCGTGTTTCTCATGCTCCAGGCCAACTGATGAGCTCCGGCTGCAGGATTTGCAAATTGCTTATATCTACGCGAACCCCAATGCTTTGGGATCCAAGGACTTGACCACCTGACTAGCTGTGACTAGCTCACCACCAAGATGAAACATATTGAAACATATTCAGTGCCAAAAAGTATCGTTGATAAAATGTGTGTCAAAGGGTACCGTTGTATTCAACTAGCACACCATAAATTGATATTCTATGTGGTGTTTGCTATTGTGTGTTGTCAACTTGCAATCGGGTCTGTGCTAACATGAGTGCGGCTAAGATGAGGCCGCAAACCATGCAGCCAGTAAGTGAGCGAACCTGGTTTTGAAGACTCTGAACATTGTGAACATTTGAATATCTGTAGAGTTTGGGAAAAGGTATGTATTGTCAGCAGCTCTTATGCAGGACAATTTGGACTTCGCACAAGGACAAACATGAGCCGTACAATGGAATGCAACACGTTCTGTTATCCAATTCAATTGGGAGTTCACATAGTTCTTGAAATGAATTTTGAGTAGTAATCAGCTGGTTTTCGGGTTCTCACGGCGGAGGGCAACCGCAGCTGGGAGTGAGATTTAGTGTGCATGTGATGCATCTTGCACCATCTGGACAGGAGCAGAATTCTATCATCAAGCTCATAAGCAGTTTCACCCCACATACCGTGCCATTTTGTATGAGCGCAACTACTATGACATTTTCATTTTTGATTTGCAAGGCGGGGCGAGTTTGATCGATGCTCAAACTGAATTCCACTCGGTTCAGCAGACCGGCTGCGCCAGGCAATCTGATCTATTCGGTTTACAAGGACGTTTTGGACATGTTTTGTGATATTTATTGTATTTTGGGCGAAGCTAAAACCATTTGTTTTTGCACAGGTTTTGCAAAGGTAAATAGATAATGATAGATAATATACAAGATCATTTAGAATTGCACACAGTACTGGTACATTGCACTATGTTCTGATCTTTCGAGTACTGGCGGCGTGAATTGTTGCAGGAACTGGACTATGCTACGAATTTTTTGGCGAATGGCCCTGGTCAGTGGAAGGACTCTGGCCTAGGTGAAGCTTTCCGTGCCGCAGTGGACAATCCAGACATCATTAATATCATTGATTGGAAACCGTATGGGTGCCATGGCATCGTGAATATGACATCAAGAAGACCTTGCAACCATTGTTTTTGGATGTGTTTGGATGTGTTTGGCGCATCCATCATCTATATTAATTTGTAGTGGTAGATACTAGGTGGGCCGGATGAGAAGATTCTGGGAAGACAAAGGCAGCAGAAAGGCAGTGGGAAATTGATCCGTTGTTACTGTTGTTACATGAATCGTTCGATTGATCAATGCAATAGATGAAATGAGTCGAAGAGGCTGCGCTCTACAGCCAAAGTCTCGCAGCCTACATGGACCTTGCAGCAATTTCACTCCATGCGCAAAACACAAAACGAATTAGAAAGATATACAGATTGAATAAATTATATATAGTGCACAGAGAGAGGGAGAGAGTTCGATCAGTGCGATCAGCGTGATCAGTCCTGTTGGTGCAGCCATTCCATCCTAAGTTGCAACAAACACAGAACTAAATGTGCAAAGTCTTTGCATTTGCCATCAAGTGAGATCCTGACCCGGACCCGAATCATGACGCCACATCCGCATGTATGTCAGATCGCATACTCATTCGCACACATGCTTGCCTTAACTGAATCGTAGCATGCTGATGCATTTTGTTAGTTGTGTTGACAATGGTTGTGTTGGTTGAGAGAAGATGTAATGTACCTATTGGGTGAGTGCCTTAGCTGGCGAGTTGAGGAGTAATGCCAGCCTATGAACTAGTCAATGAGTTCGTGAGTAGGTTCGTTGCTGAAGTACTGAGCGGGTTGAGCTGCTTTCAACGTGGCTTGATTTCTGAGTCCACTAAAGGATTTGTTTGTTCAAGTTTGTTCCTTTGTCCTTTGCAGAAAAAAAACCTTTGCAGTTTGACTTTGGTGCATGTATGTGACGCGAAGTCACATGTTTGTACCATTTTGTCGCAGTTCGGTGGCACAAAGCCTGAAGAGCCGTTTGAGGGTCAAACTATGTCAAACTAGAAGAAGTGCCAGAAGTGCGGCATCGGGTTGGCTTGATAAACCTCCAGAAATTCAAACTTAGTCTAAGAGTTTGTGGCTTAGTTATTGAGATAGTCCGTCGATCCTTATCTCGAGAGTCTTTCTTTCGATCTCTTCTAGCTTCGGTTTAGTATTGGAACATATTGGAACTTGGAACCCCCGACCACACAGAACGGTCTGCAAACTGACCCCTTCTAAGGCCAAGCTATGGCGCCTTGGCAAGTTTCCTGTCGACTGGTATCAAGAAGGATGGCGAATTGGTGGGAGTCTTTTGCACGCAGATGCCTCCAGAATCCAAACCGGTGGAAATCAGTGAAATGCAGCCCGTGCTAACGAAAGCTGAAGAAACTATGACCACCGCCGTGGACTTCTACATGAAAGGTACGCAGCATGCGCAGCATGCACAGCCAGCTCTACAGGTCTCAACAAACGGTGCATTTCTGAAGGGATTCACATATTGGCCATGGCTCGAAAACAGGGTATCAATGGATAAACACAATTTGTCATTATTATTGATATGTTTAGATGTTTTCAGTACCTAGCCATTCGTGGGGTATAGTTGTGAGATGTTGTGAGTATCCACATAGACGTATGGATTTGGACCGGCTACGGGACTGGTCTAAGATTGCCGTGCTTTGGCCAGGCTACGGGACCTGCACCACAGTGCTTGATCAAACGTCGTGGGAGATCATGATGGAAAACTACAACAGCGTGGACTACTTGTTTCTTGATTTTCTTGGAAGCAAGATGATACTTCCGCAAGGGAGTAGTGGCAGGCCGTTGGCAAAATATGGAAACATGATAGAACATAATAAAACATGATAGTGGCAATAGGCAGGTGACAAAAACAGAAAAATACAAAAGATAATACAAAAGAGAATTGTTGGGACTTTTCCAACCCGTCGCAAATGTCTCGCACGCAACGAGAAGCAAGGCTTTCCACTCTCAAGACATCTGAAGACTTTTGCATCGCTAGCAGCAGTCGAAACTTATCGAGACAAAGAGTGGAAGCCAAGCAATCAAAGGTATAGAGAAAACATGAGAAGACTATTCATTTTATTTTATTTTCACATATTTTCACAACACTTTCACATTTGAGCCACATCGGGAGTGGGGGCGACACTGTGAGGGCCTGGGCGAACTGTGAATCTCTGTGCATCTGTGCCATGTCCAAGACGGCCATCAGTGTACTTGGAAAGGCGTCTCCTATCCCCTTTGCCAGTTCGTCTGCATATTTTTGAATGTGTCATCACTGTCATCTTGTTTCATGATGTTTAATTGATAAATATCGATTCGTTTTGTTTGTATAGGTTCTTTTGTCGCCACTTTTGTCGCCATATGTTTGGTGCCGGCTGCGGTGTCTTGCGCAGGATTTGGATATTCAGTGAAAACGGAAAGTTTAGCTTCAGACGTCAACCATGTCAACCTGAAACTTAATTTGGATCAGTGATGGTCAGTGTTTGTTCCTGTTGCAACATGTTGGGCAACATGTTGGGTCAACCGTAGGGGTTTGCCGAAGCAAACAAGGTTTCTGAGCTCGTGACCATTGGGTGGGGGGGGTTGGGGGGTGGGGGGGAGTAATAACGTCCAGGCAGCTTGCGTTCCATAGAACTCATTATCCAACATTGGAATAGCTGTCCGTGGGGTGTGGGGGGGTGGGGGGGGTTGGGGGGGTGGGGTGAAGAGGGGCCCTAGCGTCTACTTCAAGATCAGCTAAGGCGTCTTCCCCAATGACAGCACTATTTTACTTTACTCTCAGCCTGTTGCCGGTCAGTGCTTGTCCACAGGCTTACTCTATATACCTCTTGAGCCTTGAAGGGCGCATATAAATGTGCTCAATACTCATGCATGTACCTCTGTAGATATTAGGTCGAAACAAAAACATGGGGGGGGGAGTAATAAGGTTCAAACAATTCATCGAACAATAGCACCAAACATTCGAACAATTCATCGAAACTCAACATGGCTCCGAAGGAAATCTAATTATGCTGTTCCAATAAAACACACAACTTTATTTCTCTTTCCAACAAATCACAAGTTCAAAAATCCTGCTAATTTTTCCGCGGGATCCCGCGAAAAAATATTGTTCGCAAAACATGAACCTGGTTCAGACAATCATCCCTTATCATGCAAACATCTTGCAAATGCTAATGTGAAACCAATGAAAAACACTGAAAATACCATGAAATTTCCTCCTACTAAACGGCTGCGGATGGACATACATGATCTTAACATATGTTACCCTTCTTGCAAACTCATTCCGACTCACGGCAAACCCCCCCGGCAAACCCAACATGTTGCATTTATGTGACTGGTGGAGAATGAAGGGTTGCCTCAAGAGTTGAAGTTTTAGCAAACCGGATATGGAGAGCTTTGAACATGTTGGGATTTCAGGTGATGTTTTTCGATGCCAGGTTTGGAGTGGTTTTGGGGTCGAGCAAAATTTTATAAAACTTCCTCCTGGATGATCTGAATGATTCTGTGTGTCTACGAGGCCTTAGGCGTTGGAAAACTGCACACCCGAGAGATGCCGCGTTAAGGGAAATCGCAGGACTAGAAGCGATTTGTACATCGCAGGTGAAAGATGTGAAAGGAGGGTGGTGAAAAGAGCATGGGTGAGGTGCACTCGTGCATGTACGCGAGCCCACAATAAATACTCAGTTTTTTGCAGCATACAAAGGCATACATTGACTCATGCAAAGCAGCACACAACAATTCAGACCCCCAACATCAAAGAAAGAACAGGAAGCTTGGAGCACATGAGTCTAGATGTTCACAGTTGGAATATGTTAGAGCATGTTAGAGCATCCATGACTTAGCTTTCCCTTGGCACACAATGACTTTCTAACGCAGTGGTTCTTGACAGTGGTAAAAAAAGAATCCAAGCCAAGTATTGATGCTCCTTGCGGAGTGGAAAGACTCGAAAATCTTAGGCTTTACCAAGCCCAAATGGAGTTCGCACTTCTAACGCATGGATACTCGCAGACTTGGCTGAACAATTCAGCGATGGGCTTGGAAGAGCAACTTGGACACGCAGGGTGCAGTGCGGGCTGCATTGGTTTAGGGAAAGCCATTTATGCCACATATGATCATTATGTATGATCATATAATTACATATACAGTCATATACATATGAATATGTGTGAATCTACAGTAAATAAAATAAATAAACATGTATCTCAACATGTCAATGTATCGACATGTATCAACTTTTGAAGAAACCCTGTGGATCCATGTGGCATGCCGCGCGTCCCCCCGGGCACTACTGGGAGAGTTGGAGTCGGACGCCAAGGCACAAAGGATTCCTGGTGATTGAAGCAGGAAAACCGGCATTGGCAGACGCATTGTGGAGCTTCAAGCAAGCCTGGGATGCCGCTAAGCTCAACAAATACGATCATTGCACCAGACAGATTCCAAGCAGATTCTTCAAATCTGAGAATGTAGAAGAATGGTTGTGACTTCTGCGACGTCTGAATATGCCAACATGACATCAGTGCTGCAGAAGTGCTGCATTAAAAGGAGGTTCAGTTTCGATTCAACTCTTTAAATTAATTTAAAGTTTAACAGACCAACCTTTGGAAAGCACCAAGCACTCATTTGACTTGACTTTCCTATTGCTCACCCACCACAGCCAAACGTTGTCACTTCTGTGGCAAACTGTGTTCAAGGCTTACCGGGCGACAGACGCCGAGAGACTTCTCAGTCTGCAAATTGCCTACATCCTGCTGAATCCCTTCCCTACAGGCTAGGTCCGGCTAGGTGGCAAGCTGAGCATTTCCGGGGCCCCGACTCTCCTTCACCAAAAGATACTTTCAAAAGCCGCAGTGAAATATCTTGCAACTGAAATCAACATAAAGCGTTAAATTGGGTTGGGAACATGACGCGGACCTGGCCTAATTCAGAGTGAGTGTCGCACACAGCCCTTTATGATCCTTTATGTGTTCTCGTTCTTTTTGGTGTTCTCATGTGTTGCGGCCGTGCTTAGAACCATGAGAACTGCACAAATGTCAGCACTTTGCTTCCAAAGGACTCAGGTTCAATATTATAAGGCTTGGACTCAAGAAAACGTGCCACTCAGTGAGACAGACATGCAGATTATGCAGTCACGCCAGGTGGATACGGTGAAAATAGGGTAGAGGACACACAGGACTCTGAACACTTTGTTTGCTTCGTGCAGGTGAAAAAGACAAACTTGACCGCGCAAGTGGTCCTGAGCAATATCATCTTGTGCACAAGCAATACCATCCAACGCAACCCTGCTCTAAACCAAAGTGACCAAGTTGTGACTCAGTGAGTTCAGAACCTTCGGTAATGTTCTGCAAAACATATCTCAGCATCACTGGAGTTTCCCGACCTGACTGACTCATACGGTTGTGAACTGTTGTGATTTGTATGCTTACGACTGGTCTCAAAATTGATGGGGTCGGGCCGTCGGGCTGCTCTAGACGACTGTGAGTGAACATAAGACCAGTTTTTTTGTATTTCATGTGATTTTTCATGGGACACTCATTTGCTCAGTTTCTGGGGTGTTCACATGAAAAGCGGGACTTTATCCCGCATGCCTCGCACTTCAATGATGTGATCCTAGTAAAGATGCAGTGAGGACAGGATATCACATGTTCTATAATTAATTAGATTGGTTTCAGGGAAAACGTACAGGAAACCATGGTTTTTACCAGCAAGTACAGGGTGTTCCTGTAAATCCTCCCTTAAACCTATCCAGTGATATCTACACTTTAGACCAAGCTTTGCTGTGCCACTATGGCCCTGAGTTTTGCGAAGATGCAACAGGTTGGGCTCATGAAAGGAGCACGCAATCAAGTTGCAAGCACCTCTCAAGTCAAACTCAATCAAGTTGCCGTGCAGATTGCAATTGGCAGTGTGAAAACTATTGAAAACTTATCTGAGTCTGGTGGACGGGAAGGGATTTATGATGATTTATGCAGGAGTGTAACGGGTGTAACGGGTGTATGTGGTGGATTTTCGTAGAGGGATAGCCACCCAATCCGTGCATGTGGAGCTTGTGGAGCTGAACGGCTCCGATTCCACCATATTCCACCAGGTATCGCGACATTCTCTATGCCCGTAACTACTATGATATTTTCTTCTTTGACCTCGGCGGCAACCTCATATACTCTGTCTACAAGGAGATCAGAACTTCAGAACACAGCAACAATCAGAACACACATCGCAAATCATCGCAATACATACTTGGCATTACTTGGCAGCATAGCATAGCTACAGCATAGCATCGCACATTGGAAGAGGAGACATGTTTCTTACGCCATGACCACGACCACGAAACAGCTGTGCAGGAGTTGGACTATGCCACAAACTTTCTGGCAGATGGACCAGGAGAATGGAAGGACAGTGGACTAGGCAAGGCATTCCGCGCAGCTGTGGCAAACCCAGATGGAATTAATATCATTGACTGGGAGCCTTATGGACCCAGCGGCTTGGACAGAATGGAGAAAGTTGGAGAAGATGAGAAGATACAATAATATAATATAGTATAATATAATATATGTGAAAATATCATAAAAGATCAAGATCAGCAGCGTTGCCTGGGATCTATTTCATTCTCACATGAGGTTAGGGTGTTTTCCAGACGTGCATCTGTTTGGCAGTATTTGCTGCCAGCATTCAGCTTGATATGAACATGTCTCAGAGGAGGGCTGAAATGTGGGGAGAAGATGGGATGAGACTGTGCACTGAATTAGTAGCAGAATTCTTGGATCACCACAATTTCCTCGCCAATTGAATGAAGTGAGGTCCCATACCATCTAGCTTAGGTTGGCCCCCCAACATGGATTTCAGCTCAAGTTTGGGGTTTCATGTCTTTTCAACTCCCGGTACGGTGGTATACGGTGATGTGTCGTAGCCGGTTAAGGCTACGGAGCTCTGGCCTCATTCTTGTCGACCGGCGTGCGACGGGCGGGTGAACTCATTGGCGTGTTCTGCACCCAGCTGCCACCCGAATTCACTCCGCGAAACTCCTCTGCTCGACTCGAAACCGGAACACAGGCTAGCCATGGCCACCCATGGCCATAGAAGTCATAGAAGTCATAGAAGTCATAGAATAGGATTATGATATATTACCAGTAGTACCGCACAAGGTGGTGGCGGAAGTTTCAAAAATAGGAAACCTATAGGAGAGGTTGGTTGTTGTGAATCAGGGATGGCAGAGCAAAGCCACTGATGGATCGAAAGGTGATTGATCTCTCTGACTCTTTCTCTATATTTTTCTCTCTTTCCCTGATTATCTACATACCTACCTACCTACCTATCTATCCATCCATCCATCCATCTATCTGTCTATCTATCTACCTACCTATCTATCGATCGATCTATCTATCTCTCTCTCTCTCTCTATCTGTCTGTCTGTCTATCTACCTGTCTATCTGCAAGCTTGAAAATGAAACTATTCTGCGAGACGTCCTCAGGTTTTGAACTTGACAACATCAAAAACGGAGCAATTCTATGAGACTTCCTCAATGTTTGAACTTGACAACGTCAAAAACGAAACAATTCTGCGAGACTTCTTCATTTTTTGAACTTGACAACATCCAAAACGAAGCAATTCTGCGAGACTTCTTCAATTTTTGAACTTGACAACTTTAAAAACAAAGCAATTCTGCGAGACCTCCTTCAAAAATGGAAAGTTTAGTGCAGCGCTTCCGGCCTCGTGCCAATGCGTTTTGCGATTTTTCCACTCCACCTGTCTAAAGTACTGCGCCTGCCACGAAAAAGTAACGCCAGGTCATACGAAGAGCTGCACCTGCCATGCAAAATCATCTTAGCAAACCTCAAGATCTGATGCTCCAAAATGCAAGCTCCGCACCCGCCGCTTTAGCGAGCCTACTTTTCGACCCTCCGGAGCCACAAATCATTGGAAAAACACAGTGTTTCGCGACTTTCCTGCCTTTTCGCGCACCTGCATCTTCTTTCTTCTGACTCTTTCTCTTCCCTGATCTTCTCTCTTCTACTCTTCTCTCCTCTCTGACTCTGCCCATCTCTGCTTTTCATCTGTCCATATTGTCGGAAGTTTGACTTCTAAACTTCCTTCGCCGATATTTAAGTTTGAATTATGCATGATTATATAGGCTGTGAACGGCTGTGACATGTTGTGACATGCTGTAAGGCTGTCCTTCCAACAATGCACAGATCCTTAGATGTTGAAACTCCTTGAGTTCTCTTCATCATGCTCTATACCAGGCGATGAACAAGATCTTCGAAGACTACAAATTCGGAGGGTTGCCAGCGCATCCACCACCGTCAGAACCGATCTCCTGGAAACTCTTCAATCTCAGTGACATTTGGACCGGGTCAGGACCTCAATGGTCAGCGCCATAGCCCCTGTGGCGCCTAGCACGACATACAAAGATTGCGTTTACGAAATTGCATCTTCCCAGTCATATACAGTAGACTAGTAGACTGGACATTTCCACTGGTTTGTTTTGAGAAACAGACATGTGCTAAACAGATCTAAACAGATCTTAAACAGATCAAAACAGAAATGTGTTCCCGGGGTTTTGACCCTATTTTTTTTCTGCGGACGCCAAGGCTGGGAGCTGATTTTGCTGGACCCGCGACACTGGATGTTCCTTGGCCTTGGGAGCTGCGAAATGCTGCGAAGCAGAGCAACATTGATTCACGTTGATTCAAAACGTATCAAGGAGATTCAAGGCTAGGAGCAAATTGGTAAAACACGGTGCGTTGAAGATGGTCACTGCCCGGTTTCAAACTTTCAAACTGCTTTGCAACGTTCAGATGGGTTGGTTTGAGCGAAACTTGTGGATGTGTGACTTCAAAGGTGCTGAACAGAGTGGTAGCCAAATCTGCTGACTTTGCATCTTATGCGGAAGCGCTCTCAACTGCCACACAAGACATGGCATATGCGCAAGTGCCAGCCTTGCCAGGAAACTTCAGTGGGGAGTTTCAGGGATGGTATGATGATGTTTATCTGAAGTTTAATAATATGCATCGTGGCCTCCGACAAGAACAAAACAACTTGCCTATTGAGCACAGGATGGATATTCCTAAGGTCTTGTCTTGAAATGCTTCAACATTTCTACATTCAGCGGAAAAACTCTTCCGCTTATTGCAAGATCATCCCAGACATGAATGCAAGATTGGTGCAAGATCTATGTGACGCCCGTCGTACCGTATATGACCAGATTGATACCAGAGACACCAAAAAATTACGTAGGGAAACCAAACAGATTTTGACAACTTGTTGGATGCGAGCCTCATTTGGGTCATTACCCGTACGCAATAGTCCACACTAAAAGCGCCATTAAATTCTGAAGTCGTGGGAGTGGAGTGAAATTTGGACTTAAGATTGAGTGATACACCATCGCTCCTTCTTCCCTTGGACATACTTAGATGGACAGAAATGCCTCAGAGGAATGTGCCCGTTGTAGATTGCCTTACGACTTGCTGGCACTGGAGTTTGTTGGAACAGCCAGGGGTAGTCCATGGGAATCCAAAGTAATCACAGATAATCCAGCCACTCCAGGATACAAAATGAGCATGGCAGCAGCAAATTTGTGGCTTGGCAGACTCCAGCGTCTCATCCAGAATATCCAGAGTCCACTGGTCGTGTCAAAGTCTTTGATGTGACATGATTTTGCCAATTTTGACACCTGGTGTATCCAATGATATCCGATGTTTCCCATTTCAGTTGAGATCCAAGCTGGGCCACTGGTGGACAATGTCCAACAACACAGATTTGACATGTGTTCTCAAAGCCTGACAGTTCCAAAAATTATCGAAGAAGAAGTCAGCCCATGTAGTACTGGACGTGTAGTTCCAAGGTTAGATACCAAGACAAAGACATTTCTGTGACCTTGGTCACCATAGGCATAAGGTGCAAAGTGCCAGGAAACGTCAACTTTGCCAAACATACATTGTTCAGACCAGACAAAGAGGCAAGGGGGCAGAGACCCCCAGCCACCACAACCCACCGCGATGCCACAATGACAGTAGATGACCCATTCAGTTTTCCACGCACTGCGCCGATACCCAGAACGACTCGAACGACCAAGAAATACAGGGAAGACCATGGCTGTTTGAGAGAATAGAATGAATGCCTTTACATGACTTTACAACAAAGGGCTCAATCAAGATTCGCATCGCATTTGAGGGCTCTACTGCAGAAGATCCAGCGCAATCTTGTGCTCATCTATAGCGGAGGTTACGATGGCTTCCGGAGTAGTCGCTTGGTCGCGTGCGGTAGATTCCGATCTGAATCCGATGGGCTATGGCAGCCAGATCATTGTGATTCGCTTTTGTCCACTCTGGTATACCTAAAATCATCCTAGATCATTCTAGTGTCCTTATTATCCTTATTCATGCCGGGTATATTTTATTCCTGCACCATAACAACAGCCTGTTAGATCTGTTAGAGCTTTTGGAACAAAGCTGAATCCATTGATTAGATCGTGGTAGATCGTTTTTTATCGTTTTAGATCGTTTTAGCCGATGCTGAGGTTTACTCACTGACATCACCTTCTTTGAGAAAAACCAGGCTCTCCGGGCTCTTCCCAACGCAATCAATCGATACTAATCGATACGAATCGCCCGATTCCTCTTTGGCGATTCTTTGGCTCCTTTTACTTTTCATCAAAACGTTTGACATCGTTTGACCACAGTGTGGTTTGCAAGAAATTCAATTATTCAGTTCAGCTATGTTCAGCTTGTGTTTTCGGTTGACGCGGCGCTAGCGCTTGACCTTTGGTCTTGAAAACAAGCGTTTGAAGTCTCTAATTCTCCACAACAACCCGTGTCTCGTGCGAGTCATGAGTCATTTTTACTAGAATTTCATGTTGACATTATGTTGACATGATGGAAAGATGATATAAAGATGATGTTGACATACGTTGAAAATACACTTTATCCTTTAGCGAAAGGCCCCACTTGTTGCAACTCCACAGATCAAAAGATCGCCTTTTGAGGCGCTGCTACGAGATGGCAACATGAATCGAAGACTTGCTCAAAGTGACATTGCAAGGAGCAGCCAGCTCTAGGCTTTAGCTGCATTTGGTTGCCAACATGTTGCCATGCTGCCATGCAGTGCCCAGCTGGAAACAGTGAAGCACAAGAGAGGTAGGTGGCAGTAGGATGCCGTAGGTCGCTACTGTAGCGGAAACTGCCTGAACATACACCCAGATAGAAAAGATATAAAAGATCGAAGAAAAGGAGATCAGATGATGTGAAGCTTGTTTGGACAACCATTTTTGAGCGCCCATATAACTTTTGACATACTGTAAAGGGATAGAGCGGCAATACTGAGAGGAAAAACCGTTGGAGTTAGAACATGTCAGCTGTAAGTCCATCACAGAAGACAATGTGTGCCGTTGTTCTGAAACGGTCTGCGGATCTGATCCAATGTACGTATTTTGATGTTGTCAATTCCATTCTAATGCGTATATTTGCTAATACATACATGTATGTACATAGATAAGATAGAAAGATAGAGAAATGGATAGATAGATACGTACATGGATAGATGGATAGATAGATGGATGGATAGATAGATAGATAGATAGATAGAGAGAGATTAGATTAGATTAGGTTAGGTTAGGTTAGATTAGGTTAGATTAGATAGATAGATAGATAGAGAGAGAGAGAGAGATTAGATTAGATTAGATTAGGTTAGGTTAGGTTAGGTTAGATTAGATAGATAGATAGATAGGTAGATAGATAGATAGATAGATAGATAATCAGATAATAAGATTATAAGATAATAAGATAATAAGATTATAAGATTATAAGATTATAAGATAATAAAATAATAAGATAATAAGATAATAAGATAATAAGACAATATGATGATATGATAAGATAAGATAAGATAATATAAGATAGATAAGATAGATAAGATAAGATAAGATAGATAAGATAAGATAAGATAGATAGATAGCTAGATAGATAGCTAGATAGATAGCTAGAGAGAGAGAGGGATTAGATTGGATTGGATTAGATTAGGTTAGGTTAGGTTACGTTAGATAGATAGATAGATAAATAGAAAGATAGATAGATAGATAGAGAGAGAGAGAGATTAGATTAGATTAGGCTAGGCTAGGCTAGGTTAGATAGATAGGTAGGTAGGTAGGGTAGGTTAGGTTAGGTTAGGTTAGGTTAGATAAGATAGATAGATAGATAAATATATAGATAGATAGATAGATAGATAGATAGATAAGTAGATAAGTAGATAAGTAGATAAGTAGATAAGTAGATAGATTGATAGGTAGGTAGGTAGGCAGACAGGTAGATATGTAGATAGATAGATAGGTAGATAGGTAGATAGGCAGACAGGTAGATAGGTAGATAGATAGGTAGATAGGTAGATAGATAGACCGATAGAGAGCTAGACAGATAGACAGCTGGACAGAGACAGCTGGACAGATAGACAGCTAGACAGGCACAGATAGATAGATAGATAGATAGATAAGTAGATAAGTAGATAAGTAGATAAGTAGATAAGTAGATAAGTAGATAGATTGATAGGTAGGTAGGTAGGCAGACAGGTAGATATGTAGATAGATAGATAGGTAGATAGGTAGATAGGCAGACAGGTAGATAGGTAGATAGATAGATAGGTAGATAGGTAGATAGGTAAATAGGTAGATAGATAGACCGATAGAGAGCTAGACAGATAGACAGCTGGACAGATAGACAGCTAGACAGATAGATAGACAGACAGGCACAGATAGATAGATAGATAGATAGATAGATAGATAAGTAGATAAGTAGATAAGTAGATAAGTAGATAAGTAGATAAGTAGATAGATTGATAGGTAGGTAGGTAGGTAGGCAGACAGGTAGATACGTAGATAGATAGATAGATAGGTAGATAGGTAGATAGGTAGATAGGTAGATAGGTAGATAGGTAGATAGGTAGATAGGTAGATAGGCAGACAGGTAGATAGGTAGATAGATAGATAGGTAGATAGGTAGATAGGTAAATAGGTAGATAGATAGACCGATAGAGAGCTAGACAGATAGACAGCTGGACAGATAGACAGCTAGACAGATAGACAGACAGACAGACAGGCACAGATAGATAGATAGATAGATAGATAGATAGATTGGTAGATTGGTAGGTTGGTAGGTTGGTAGGTTGGTAGGTTGGTAGGTACGTGCGTGCGTGCGTGCCTGCGTGCGTGCGTGCAAACGAGCGCGGACAGACTAAACAGATGGCGGAGCAAGTAATCCATCACATCTCATGAAAAAGTCGCACAAGGCAGTGGAGGAAGTTCCGATAGGAACATATTTTCCTATAGTAATGCAGACAGGGTTTTACCTATAGGAGTTGGGGTGCCGTTTCAGGGCAAACATACATCCCGTGCTGTGGCTCAGTGTTTTTTGTGGGACATCCTGGATGAGTCATCAATAGTCGATAGTCATCGGATCGTTGATCCGTTCTGTCAGAGTATTTTTCTTGCAGTCATTATTTCAATCCAGTCAAACCTTCTAGAGTTGCAGATTGTGGTATGTTCATCGTCCGGTCACTTTGTGTGCTTTGTGCTCTTCTGTTCTTTTTTCTCTACTCTTCTATATTCTTTTTTGTGCCCTCCTTTGCTCTGTTCTACTCTGCTCCACTCTTCTATACTCTTTTCCTATTTTTCTGGTCTTCCCGCTCTTCTGTTCTCTACTTTTCCTTACTTTACCCTCCTGTATTCTTCTCCATTCTCCGCTCTACTCTCATCAACCAAATCCACATGCGAGCCACACTTTAGAATTAAAGCATTCGCACCTGTGTCAACGTCATGTGGCGTCATGTTCTCTCTTGTGTTTCCTTTTGCTTTGCTACAGTCATTCTCAATGAGACATGGTCTTCGACGTGTAGCTTTCCCTAGATGGTTTTGTTTTGCACTTATACAAGCAAACAAACTAGCCCACAGAAGGCAACGCAAGCGCATCGCTTTTTTCTTGTGGGGAACAGAGAGATACAGAGAGAACGTCCAAGGGGTCACACATCGCAAACAGAAAATCTCGCCCAACAGTTACCTTGATGCAGCAATCCGGCTGCCCTAAGCAATGCAAAACACAAAAGCACCAGCGCGCAAACTTAACCTACGATCACTTCGACGCGGCAGTTCCACTGCGCAATGCTACAAAGACCTGCAAAACACAATAGCACCGGGACACGATGGTATCACAAACTCACTTTGCCGCAGAAGCTCCAATGCGCGAACCAAGCACATTTGCATGAGATAAAAAACACAATAGCACGAGAGTACTGTATGTAGCCGTACATACACCACGCCTCAATTCCGCTGCGCGTGCATTTCAAGACCATTTCGACGCTAAGCCAAGGATGCCCGCAACTGCCGCGCAAGCGACCCTAGTTTTCACCAACCACACCAGTACACGAAAAAAAGCACCGTGCTTCGTACATGTTCGACCGCTGAAACCGCAGCTTGATGCAACAGTTCCAGGAAAAAGGTCCCGCAAAGTTGTTAAAGTAGTGACAGTGTGGTGGTGATGATGGTGATGCGGAGAGTATTTGAAGCGGTGATGATTTGAATTGATTTGAAGTGGTGATGATGCGAAGTGGTGATGGTGTGAAGCAGTGATGATGAGAAGTTGTGACAATGTGATGATGCTCACTTCCGACAACTCGGAGCTTCTCTTCGAAACGTCCTTTGACTATAACATACACATATTAAGTATGCATATACATATACATTATGTTATGATATGTTATGTGTAGATTAATTAGATGGATAGATAGATAGATAGATGAAAAGATGGATAGATAGATAGATAGATAGATAGATTGATTAACAGATTGATAGATCGATAGATAGATTGATAGATTGATACATTGATCGATTGATCGATAGATGGATTAGATGGATAGATGGATAGATGGATAGAAGGATAGATAGATAGATAGATAGGTAGATAGGTAGATAGGTAGATAGGTAGATAGGTAGATAGGTAGATAGGACAGGTAGATAAATAGATAAGATAGATAGGTAGATAGGATAGGTAGATAGATAGATAAGATAGATAAGATAGATAAGCTAGATAAGATGGATTAGATAGATTAGATAGATTAGATTGATTAGATAGATTAGATAGATAGATGGATAGATGGATAGATGGATAGATAGATAGATAGATAGATAGGTTGATTGATTGATTGATTACATAGATTGGATAGATTAGATAGCTTAGATAGATTAGATAGATCAGATAGATTAGATAGCTTAGATAGATTAGATAGATTAGGTTAGAATAGATTAGATTTGGTTAGAATAGATAGATAGATTTGATAGATTTGATAGATATGATAGATTTTATAGATTAGATAGATTCGATAGATTAGGTTAGAATAGATTAGATTTGGTTAGAATAGATAGATAGATAGATAGATTGATTGATTGATTGATTACATAGATTGGATAGATTAGATAGCTTAGATAGATTAGATAGATCAGATAGATTAGATAGCTTAGATAGCTTAGATAGATTAGATAGATTAGGTTAGAATAGATTAGATTTGGTTAGAATAGATAGATAGATTTGATAGATTTGATAGATTTTATAGATTAGATAGATTAGATAGATTAGATAGATTAGATAGATTAGATAGATTAGATAGATTAGATAGATTAGATAGATAGATAGATTAGATTAGATTAGATAGATAGATAGATGGATAGATGGATAGATAGATAGATAGGTAGGTAGATGGGTAGATAGATAGATAGATGGATAGATAGATAGATAAGTAGGTAGATGGGTAGATAGATAGATAGACAGACAGATAGTTAGATAGGTAGATAGGTAGATAGATAGATAGGTAGATAGATAGGTAGATAGGTAGATAGGTAGATAGGTTGATAGATTGATAGATTGATAGATTGATAGATTGATAGGTTGATAGATTGATTGATAGATTGATAGATTGATAGATTGATTGATTGATTGATAGATTGATAGATTGATAGATTGATAGATTGATAGATAGATAGATAGACAGATAGATAGATAGATAGTCGTTTTCTTATCAGATTCCATCATGCTCTACCCACTTTGAGTCTAATTGAGCTCCCAGCCAGGACTGAAAGCTTTGAAGGTCTTACAATGCTGGACGTGGCAGACTCTGCTTGGGCGGCAATGTATCTTGGTCATGTCTTCAGTGGTGAAAAGGTTTGAAATCTATAAAGCCCACTTGAGATCATGTGAAACAAGAAGAAGAAGAAGAACTTTGTGAGATGCAAGCGCCCCCAACCAGACGCCGCACCGTGAACGGCAAGAGCCAAAGGCCATGCCGACAACCACTCAGCCGCCCAATGCCAGTGAGGAGCAAATCTATGGCAAAGGGGAACCACCAGTAGCGCCAGAATGAACCAACTGCTCCACGCCCACTCGCAAATATGGAGAGGCACGGGACCATAGTGTAACGACGCAGAGTCATCTCAAGAGGTAGAGCAGGAAGCAAAATGCACCTGCAGGCCACGTGCACCGGTAAAGATGAAACAACCATGCCAGAATTCAGCAGCCAAAGGACTGCCCCTGTACACACATTGCAGAAGCCAAAGAGGCCCCAGCAGCAACCACCGCTGCAAAAATTGCAGAACCAATAGCTTCCTCAAGCCAAAGGGTCCAAACAGCAGTTGAATTGAATCAAAACTGCAATCCGCCATGTCCAAGCCGCCGAAGATACCAGCGCCACCAGGTGACCTCCAAATCAATGGAGAAATCAGCAGCCCAAACGCGACGAACATCCACACCCACAGTCGCAGACTGTGGTCGACAAAGCGCCAAGCCATGTCTCCCTTGCAGAAATGTAGGCAAGCTGACCATCATAAAGGGGAGTCGAACCCCAATCAGAACCACTTCTTGACGACAAAGGTAGTGCCGGGGAGGTATTTGTGTCCAGGTTGATTCCCGCGCGGCCACCACGAGCGTCACCACGTAGCAGCCGCGCCCCCTTCCCGGGGAGATCATGTGAAACTGTTCCACGACATTTGAATGAAAACATTCGAGTACACTGATAATACACTGATATGGTTACAGTTGGTGGCATTTTTTATAGAAAAAACTTCAAAGGTCTTCAAACTGTTTGCAGATCCAAAAGTTTGGCGCAAACAACTCCGATTGCTTCCGGAAGAAGCACTTGGCGCCCAGCCAGCCTCATGTGTTTCTATGTTGTGTCTTTGTGCGTGTCTTTGTGTGTGTGTTCTTCCTTCTTTACAAATCCTTGGATAGGGCAAGGTTTTGTTGGGTAAAGCATTACCTTGGAATGCAAACGCGTGCAATGTATTCTTCATCCACATCTGATGCGATATGGTGCAGTGCGATGTGGTTGGGTGGAATGCGATGTAACGCGTTGTCATGCACGGATACGCGCAGTACATATGTAACATGTAAGTACTTGCTATTTTGCAAAGTGCATGCCTTTTTGCACGTTGTGATTGTGTAGTGCAAATTGTGTATGTGAGTTTCTTGTGTGGGTGTGTGATTGTGGACTTAATCTTTGGCTGCTCAAACGAACTGCCTTGTGAGGAAGCCTATCGTCGAAAACATTGCCGTGGGTGCCACAGTAACAGAAACCTTGAAATCCATCGTTGAGCTCTCAGATGATGCCGTGGATGCTTGGTATGGCCATGAGTTCGATCACGGCAATTCCACCCCGATTCAGCTGTTCCTTACGGTCGAATTTTTTGAGGACCAAGACGAGTCGCAACTGATTCTTCCAACTCAGGAAGCTATGCAGAAAGTTCAGACGTTCTTTTCATCCACCACCCGCACAACAACGATGCTGGCATTGGAGCTGTTGGCACCGATGCAGCGAAGCAGCATAAGCATCATACAATTTGCAGCTGCACCGCCTTGCATCTGTCGTTCATTTGCCTCACGTTCCGCCATGTTCTGCCTGTCATTGCACCTCTCAGACTTTCTGTGTGAAGATGTGAAGAAGTGACTAGGTCCTAGGATGTCCTAGGTGAGTTTGCCATATGTCAAGCACGTCATCCATTTCGTGGAGCAGTCAGTCTGTACACGAGAGAGTAGGTCTTTCTGCAATGGGTAGGAGTTAAACGAAAATCGTCCAAAAGCGAAAATATGACTTCAATAGAATCCATGAATTAGTCCTTTTTAGTCCTTTTTAGTTTTTTATCAGGGTCATATATTGTCGTTCTCGCCAAGGCCGATGACCGGGAGCTGGGCTGCGGGGACGACCTTCCGGCTTGCAGCACGCCTGGCAGAGGGCATCATTAACCAGGACGGAGGGCAGAGGGCAGAGGAGGGCAGAGGAGATCAAGGAACGCATCAAGGAAGCACCGCCATTGAGCTTAAGACAGTAACCAAAAGTACCAAAGTTATCAAGGCAATTACCAAGGCGACCTAAGTTGCACTTGGTTGGAGAACTTTGAGAACCAATCAGGGCACGTCAAACGGCACCAAGCTATACAGAGAAAGCTGCATGTCAACCTTTCTAAATCTATGAACGTCCATTTACATGCCTTGTCTTGGGATGTCTTGGATGCCTCCTTGAAGCATGCTCGACGGTTGCACAAATCCAGAGACAGGACCAACTTCTCTTGCCTGGGTATCGACTACAGCATTTCGGCCGCTCAAGATTGTCGTTACTCTTGAGAATCAAAGTGTTTCTATGTGTTATGACAATATCATACAATAAAAACATCATCATCATCATCATCATCATCATCATCATCATCATCATCACCACATACTTAGATACACACAGATTGCAAGTATAATAATATGTGTGTCTTATGTTTGTTGCCTAAAGACTTGAGCATGCTAGCCATGCAGAGGGAAATGTGTGTAGATATTGTACATGTACAAATACATATATACATATATGATCATATATAGATAGATATATATATATATACATGTTATGTATGTGTATATATATATATAACAGTTATCTATACATATAATATATGTATACACAATATGTGTGTATATGTATTCACACCTATTCATACACACTGTGATTTGATGGTGTACCTTCCCACATGAAGCCTTCAAGCAAATCCCTTTCGTTTTCTGAGGCACGTGATTTTTGATGACAAGTGCGACGAAAGTGTGGGTTCTGACATCGTTGTTTCAGCCATGGCCGAAAAGGACACATATGTTGGTATTGGTGGAATGGGCCGCTCACCGCAATTGAGACACAGCATTGCTGGGAAAGTCACAGCACATCGAATTTCCGATCTCCAGATGATTGTTCTTGCCCATATTAGCGTACAGTGCAACATTTTGTGTATAATATATATATATATGCATCATTGTACATTTCTCATATAATCACATGCTTCGGTACATTCTTTGACAAGCAGAGTTTCGTCACATTTTGTTGTGCTTCGAGGCTGTGATCGAGTGTGTCGTCCCATCTCGTCATTGGCCACATCCTTGCGCTTGCCCTTCTTGAGCTACGAGTGTCCATCGCCTGACTTCTCCGATACATTGGGCTATCCTGCTCTGGCACGAATGGGCACGGTCACCAAGACACCGATGTTGACGACAGTCGAAACCTTGCGGCTCGGTCAGAACTTGCGAAGCCTTGCAGGATCGAGGGTCATGCGGTGCATTGTTTGAAAGTGAGCATTGACTTAATTGACTTCGTGTGGACAAGTAAAGGCTGAACATTGCATTACTTAATTTGACATTACATTGGGCATTGGTAAAGGCTGGTAGTCAGAGTTCCCTGAGCTTCCGTGGTGGTGACTGATCTGAGGAAGGGGCTGAATGGCTGGACAAAGTTATTCATCGTGTCTGGCGACCCCGCCTTCTACCAGGTCCAAGTAGATCCTTGAGAGCAATTTCTGTGGTAAGCCTGGTAAGCCTGGTAAGCCTGTTTCCAATTGTTTCCACCCGAACCAAACTGAGCTGTGGGCAGCTGAAAGAAAACGAGCAGCGTGGGGCACACAGCACAGACTCCATTCAATTTTGGCGTGTCACAATCTTGAACAGAGTAGAAGTCTATTTGGTGAATTTCCATCACAAGATATCACAAGGTCGTCTTCGTATGTCTTCGTGACCTGCGATTTCAACAAACCGCTCTGACCATTACAGAGTTCAATTTCCTGTGTGTTTTTGGGATCTCTTGGCGCTACAACTCTATGCAACTCGTAACAGTCGTAACATATCTGTTCCGTGGCTGAGGAGCAGTACACACAGGACTTTCAAGCCATGGGCTTCGGTGTCGAAAGCCTGAGCGCATATGAAAGCCGTTGGAACGACATCAAAGGAATCATGGTCCCTTGTTGGGCAAAAGTTACAAGAACTTTTTCAGTTGGGCAAACTGTTGGGCAATGTTCAGCGATTCTTTTTCTGGCACATGACATGCCGGGTGTACTACTCTATCAGCCTACATGAATGGATCACTTCACTCCGATCTTCGCTGTTTATCTTTAAAGAGTTGCTTGTGTTTTCAAACGAAGAGAATGCAAATAACAATTGAGAGCGAAGGTTTTAAATTGTTCGGTGGTAAACCAACGAGCAAGTTCCCGCATATTCACTGTCAGATACATGTTCAATAGTTGCTGAATCATTTGTTCAGCTTTGAATTGGACTGAGGCTTCCATTAAAGGCAGAACAAAGGGCCTGGAACGAGTCTTGTTTGTGCTTGGCTCTGAAACTTTCTATCGGAAGTTGGTTTGTGCCTCCATCACAGAAGGCGCGGACCCATGGCCTGCCACCAGTTTGCCAAGATCGGTGCAGGGCCTTTTTTATGATCAAGCCGTTTTGAAGAGCAAATGAACAGGTAGGACATGGTAGGACTACGGTAGCACGGTAGAAGAGGTAACACAACGTGCATCACTTGGACTAGCCGACTAGCCTCAGAACCCCGGTCAAGACCTCGCTGAACAGCACAATGGGCTTTCCAATTTCTTGGGCTCCACTCTGGAATGGGGATCTTTGTGTAAAAACCTTTCCTCCAGACACTTGGAAAGACTTCTGCGGTCAGCAATAATTTCATTTGAATTCTCTTGTTTGCAGTCCGCTGGGCTTTTGTTGTTGAAACCCTGACAGCTAAGACAGTGGAAATGCTTCAAGACACTGTCTCCTTAATAAATTGGCGCAGACACTTGAAATCACTTGAAACATTATAAACATGGTCCTTTCACGTCCCTTCCCTTCCATGATTTCTACACCTGTTGGATGCTGCCCAACTCATCTCCACTCCTCATTTGTTTGGTCAGATCGTACATGCTGGAACTCAGCGTTGAACAGGTCTTCAAAAGGGCATCGTTTGGATTTCGGAAGGAACTTGGAGAAGTCAATGGTGGAAGAAGACGGACTTGTTGACATCAGCGCACAGGCCCAGCTTGACACGGACTTGAGGGCGGGGTCGAGGCCATTACGGCACCTTTCGGGACCTTTCGGGCGCTGATGCTAATTGTTGGTGAATTATGGGTAATTGCCATTGGTTTTCACTGGAGAAGTTCAGGTCAGACGGTATTGGCATCAAAGAGGGTGACTGTTTGGGTGCATGAACTTTGTTTACTGCCAATTTCGCTAAAACAGTGGTTGCACAGCGAGAGGCTGCCTTTGCCACTTCGTTTCAAAAGCTTCTACATTTTTCAACAGTCATCCTGAGTTTCAATTCTTTCCATTGCGCATGCGCTTGAGGCAGTGGCTTCGAGAGGATGTGGGAGGTCTGCAATTGAAGCAAGCTTTTGCTGACTTCAAGGCGAGCACAAGAACGCCGAAGTGATGCAGCCATGTGCCGTCATGTGCAGTAAGATCAGTTGGATCATGTTGCAACTCGCAATGATCATGTCGGTAAGTGACTTGCAATGCAGCCACTGAAGCCACCAGGCTGCTTGGGACAGTTTCCGGCCGACTGTGGAGGCCACGCGGCAGGACTGCATGAAGCCTCACTGCTCTCATGCCCACCATGTTTTGACCTTTGAGCCTTTGAGATCCTTTGAGTGTCTAAGAGTCGGCCAAACCTTCCATTTTCTGAAGTGGTGTTCAATTTGCAGACAGGACCTGTTCGACCTCTATGTCACAGATCAGAAGGCGACAACTCCAGTGTTTGCCAGCATCACAAGGGAAAGTTCATAGTTCAGATGGGCCTAGTCGCGAGAATGCCTCGCAAATCCTAAGTGAACTGCATGACGACAGTCCTTCGTAGAATCATATTCTTTTGAAAAGGTTTAACAAACATGCAACCTGCATCAACCTGCGACAAACATATCAAAAGCATCCCAAAGCCGGTAGAGACCCGATCGCAAAGTGCAGGACGAGCTTGCATATGCGGATGGTGATGAGAGGTATCATGGAGTTCATGCAAAATATCATCCAATCTACAGACAGAAGCTCTACGACCGGGCTTACTACGATATCTTCTTTTTTGACCTTGAGGGCGATCTCATCTACTCAGTCTTCAAGGAGCGAAAGAGGCAGAAGACGAGGGGAAAAGTCATTGAGGAGTTGCAAAGTCAGAAAGAGGGTTTTTGATGTTATTTCATGTCATGTCATGTTATTTATATGAAATCTGGAAGAATTTGAGAGAGTGAGGGAGTTTGGATTCTGCGAAGGATCTACTGGAGCCTGCACATGATTGGCTGCATCCAATCATCCAATCAGTAGGCATCAGCGCAAACACCCCGATTCCAACGTCTTGCAACTTTGCCAACAGACAAATCAACTAGAGTTCTAAGGTTCAGGGTCAATTTGTAAATACTAACGGTTACTAACGGTTTCGTTGAGGCTTCGAAGACACTGATTGTACACTGTTTCTTGGGCTTCAGGCCCTTTGGTTTTTTAAGTTTAGGGTAAAGGCGGTAAAGGGTTTCAGGTTGAGATTGGTTGAGGTTTTAGGGTTTAGGTTTTTTGGGGGGGTTAGAGTTTCTGCGCACATCAACCCTTCCCGTGCTTGTTGGCCCAAGATAAATTCTACTTCAATATGCTAATTATGTGGAAATCCCTGCAAGTACCAGTGTTTAAGAGCGGCCGAAAAGACTTGGCCGGGTGCAGCGGACCGCGGACAAACGGAGGTGTTTGCCGGAAAACTTACAAGAGACTTGTTAAAGCCCACAGTTGCACACGAATCACACGCAATCGCACACGCATACGATTATGCCATGCCATGCAGCCTTAGCCTTGCAAAGAATCACTGTCGAAGGAGACCGACTATGCCACGAACTTCGCTGCCGGTGCAAGCGCCGGAGCGTGGAGCGATTCCGGTTTGGGCGAGGCTTTCCGTGGAGCGCTGGCAAATCCAGAGACTTCGCTCGCACTGGCAGCAACACGAGAGGAGTAGAAAGGTTCAAGAGACAAAGACATCAGCACATCTAAAATCATCTAAACACCGAGACCCATCTGAAATATTCATAAATATACTAGAATTTGCACGTATAAGAAGACCAGGAGCATCAGAAACTGTAGCCGCTAATCAGGGCCCAACAAAATTTCTAAACTCGTTTTGCAATGTATGGAAATGATTGGAAATGTGCCTATTGAACATTGACAACTTTTGAAAACCATATCGAAACTTGTGTGTCATGCAACTTGTGTGTCATGCAAGTCTGAATTTGGACTAAGGACAACCTAACATACATCGATTGGTCGCCCTACGGACCCAGCGCCTACGCTGACGCGGCCTTCTTTTCAACTGGTCTCAGGGACGAGGCAGAGATGCTGTGCAGTTGCAATTGTGGAATGGGAGATGCGACAGTATCACAAAGTGCTAAGACTGGCTAAGATCTACTTTTAAAATGTTCTATTCTATTCCATTCTATTCCCTATTCTTCCTCTACTCTTTTGAGTTTCGTTTGAAAATACTTCTTTGGGTATAAACATACGTATGATAAACAATCATAAGGATGAGTTAGCCGGTTAGCCTTTTTTAACCGTTTGTAGACGTCGATGACGACAGGTTTGCTTTTGCGCCAGGATGGGTTGCTCATTGGCGTGTACGCCATCCAACTCCCGCCGGAGTACGAACGCTCCATCGAGGAGATGTCAGCGGAAGTGGCACATTGATCCACTAAGATCCACTAAGATCCATACGCAGTCCATAAAGTGAAATAAGTCGAAATAAGTTTTGAAACAAGTTTTGAAACAAGTTTTGAAATAAGTGAAATCAATTGATTAACGTATGACATGATATGACTTGATATGACTTGATCTTGTTTGGGTGATGCAAGGTCTCTCAGATGGCACAGGACACGGTGGAGGAGTGCTCCTTTGAAACCATCACAGAAGCCTTCCAGGGCGCCATCAATGTGGCTGGCTTGGGACGGCCTGTGGAGGAGTGCCAAGATGTGTGGGACCTGTGGACTTAAAGACGATGTGTAGAAGCAATATTTTCTACATAATATATCATAATATACTTATAATATACATACAATTATATAATATATATATATATATTAATACAATTATATATATACAATTAGCGATAGGTATCAAAAAAAATTAAAAACGGATCAAAAAAAAATTAAAAGATCAAAAAAAATTAAACCGGCATCAGATTTACAGCTTAATTTTTGTTTGATCTCGTGTCTGTGAGGTCGTTGCATCTAAGCAGTTTAGGTTTCACCCACACAGGCCATGATTTGGTGATTTAATTTGTTTTTGATCTGTTTATTTTTTTTGATTTTTTTTTATTGTTTTTTGATACCTTTTTATTTTTATTTTTTTTATACCCCACTCATACAATTATATATATATACATACCAATTATATATATATATCTCTACATACCCATTATATATATATATACAATTATACAATGATACATATTATATATATATATATATCTTGTGTATATACATATACCGTATATAATATATATATATATATACATATGCAATATTTTTTACACGTGTATAAATATGTATGTATATCAAGTTTGCTTTTCCATGTATAGATCATATCATATTTGCAGAAGGGTTTGAATTTGATCGGAAGTGGCACCAGGCTGCCAAGGAATTACTTTGCAGATCTTGTCACGCTTGAGGCAAAGTTATCCGAATGGACCCAAAGAATTAAAAAGTGGAATCTTACAACAGAAATATGTTTTCTTGACATCTAAGAACTTTGCAGAGCAGTTTCACATGTTTCACCGCTCCAGGAAAATATGGAGAAGCCGCTGCCTTGCTTCAAGGGTTACAGTCCTCGCAGCTTGCTCTCGCTATTGGACTTGCGCTTTGAAACGGGCTATCCTGTCGGAGACCCCACCCTACGAGTTGAGGACATAGGGCCTGTGGCCTTTGCCCGCGCCTGACTGTGCTACGTTTTCCGCTCATTCCTATCCAGTTCAGCCCTGTGCAGTTTGTTTTGCAGGATCCTTACTTCGATGTGAAAGCAAATGCCGTGGACGGAACTTGTGCTTTTGCGTGCCATGACAAGTCACAACTGCTTCAGATTCCACTGTGACTGCCTGATACAATTGCGGATGTCGATGAATCAGTTGTACGTAGTTGTACATATTTGTACACTATACTATACAGTTTTTTGACAAATCGCTCTCTCGCATCAATTATGTTTGGTGTTTTGCTGAGGTTCGGGCTGCAATATTTGATGCGGCAGGGTCACACAGTGCAGCAGATCCAGCGTCGAGATTCAGATGTCTACCAGAAGTTCACAAATTTCTTCCGAACAGACATGAACTTCCAGGGCGTCGCTTGGACAAGTTTGTGCTGTGATTGTGCCGTGAGTGCTGATGCTTCAGCAGTTGAAGGGGGAAAGATGGGAAAGGACATCCAGTTGAGACAAATTTCACCATGTTTCCACCATGTTTCACCATTTGTCGTCCTTGCCTTTATCCCGGTGACGGAATCCATAAGGCTTCTGGGCTGGTGAAGTTTGAAGGCAATGACAAGAAGAATCTCCTGATGGTGCAGCAAATCCAGAACGGCCAGAATGTAGAGGCCTTGACATGATGATCGACATAGTCCAACTCCGGTAGAATTCAGGTGGAGGTTCACCGCGGAATCCATTCTATAGTTTTGCGCAACCATCGATATGCAGAGCCCATTTGCTAATTCGTGCTATTGTTAGTCCTCATTGTCCTCATTGGCTGTTCCTTTCATTGTTTTCTTACTACTTTCGCCAGGCTTCTTAAACCCAACTAAGGTGTATTTTCTTTTTGGGACAAAAGATGACATTCAGATTGATAGCCAAGCTCGGACAAGCTGTGTCTCATTGTGTCTCGCACAGGTCGGTCTCATTAGTGAGAATGGCACCCTCGGATGGATCGGCAATGGCACGGATAATACTGTTTGGCAGGTTCCGCAGGGCAGTCTTCCTGGGCGTCTCGAGACAAACATAGACAAACCAAATGAAGTGCAGAAGAGACAGATACGTCCAGAAATACCCAAAACATCCCAAAGCATCATCCAACAGAAAAGATTATATTCTGATTATAAAAGCATCCAAAAATCTCGGAAGAAGATGGAAGATGTTTTGAATATGAAAGCTTAGAACCAAACTTTCATTTGCCCTTGTGCAGAGACCGGGAGGGGAAAAGCCTTCTGACATCCCAACTGCACAACTTGATAGTGCTGTAAACCCTCATTGCTACTCTAGCTCCATCAATCCGTTTTCATTTGCTGCCAACTCTACGAAAAAAGGGCCGTGCCGTCTTTCTTTCTAAGCAGTGGGCAGGAATAAAAACATCCTGAGCCCGCGAAAGGAAGAGACGCTACCCCGCAGCAGCGAAGCAGAATCACAGCCACAAGGGAGGGTAAATCAGTCATTGTACCTCCTTATTTTACCCCTTGATAGTGATATTCTACGTGGCAAGCCTTCTAAACTGCCTCGCTCCCAAACATGGCAACATCATGTACCCTTGTATCTGGGGCGTTGGGAGAAACCCTGTGAATTCTATTCGCTTGGTTCCACAAAAGCTGTAGTAGAATCCATTATTGTCTATGGAAAGTCTCCCATGGTCATCTGAACATACTTGAGCAAGTTGTGTAGTTTTATACGCTTTCTTTGCGCAACTTCTACAGTCTCTATTAGCTCCCCTTCCCACCTACCCCAGCGGCATGGTGCACATTCGATGCGCATTGACATCGCGACTTTAAAAAAAATGCAGTTGACAACCAGTTTAGGTTGAAAGTACAAAATGAATCACAAGATCAAATTAACCCAGCATACAACCCCAATCCGGCCAGGGGCCCAATGGCCCTGCGGCCGTGGCACTGCCGTAGGCCTTCTCTCCTCTCCGTAGGAGAGAGGGGCTGCGACCCCTACCGCCGACCCTCGGGAGCGTCGACCATGCGCCCACCTATCAGATGTACTGCAATTTACAGTGTTTTGTGGCTTTCTCATTTTTCTGATCTTGTGGCTGTAGATGGGTCAACATGGCCCAACATAAGCCCCAAAACGCGCGGACGCTGGCCCAACATAGCCCCCAGAGGGCCCAACATGGCTGCAAGCTGGGCCAACCTCGCCCCAAGATGCGCCTACTACAGACCTTGCGGATGGGCCACAACAACCACAACAACAACAACAGCAGCAGCAGCAACAACAGTAACCGCCGACCCTACAAACACCCTGCAATTTACGGTGTTTTTTGGCTTTCCCATGCGCCGTGCGCCCTTTATTATTTATAATATATTTGTGATCCTTTACCATCAAGTGGGCCCTGGCCGGCTGTCGGGCGTAGCCCTTAAATAGCAGAGTTTCGCATTTCCTTTGACAGCAATTTGGTATTGACAGGTGAAACAGCTTGGTCAAAAAAATGCCATTCCTTCGATACCACCAAGACACCGCCGGAACACCGCCAGAACACCACAGAAACACCACCAAAACATGAGCAGAACACCCAAGAAATGACCGAACACCGTCAAGACACTACGGACACACCACAAAAATGCCACCAAGACACCACAACCACCGAAACATTATTTAGAGACCACCAAGACACCAGTACAGACACCATCAGGACAAACGCCACCAATTCCCGAAAAGCCTGCAAAGGGCGTCTCCCAAAAAGTTGCTGCCAGCTACCAAATGAATATATGCAGGTGTATTGCGGCAGATATATAGGTGCAACTGGAGATCGGCTTCTAAAAAGACACCTACAAGTTGATATATGCAGGTGTAGAGTGGCAGATGTAAAGACTCAGGTGGGGATCAATTTCTTAAAAAGCACCTACAACATTTTTTCTAAATTTCTCGTGGGGCGTCAGGGCAGCGTGGATTGATGTCCACGAAACGCAACCCTCACGAAACGTCGATCGTCATGCATTGAGATCAAATTGCAATGTGGGTTTGTGCCGTGTCAACCCTCTCCCACGAAATGCGTCTCGATCGTCAAAAGCTGTGGGTGAAATTGCGAAGTTGCATGTTTGCTGAACTCTTTCGACCAAATGCGTGTCTGCCATCGGGAATCATGTAAAAGTACGTCTGTGTAAAAACATCCGTAGGTAAAAGCTCCTTGTGTCAATGCAGTCCTTTGTAAACGCACCTCTGTTTGTTTTGGCATATGTATGTAAAGTTGCTCAAAGTAAAAAAACTATGTGTAAAAGTATTTGTATGTAAAAGTGTTTCAGTGTGTGAAAGCATCCCTGTGTAAACCCATCTCTGGGTAAAAGTATCTCTGTGTAAAAATATTTCTATGTAAAAGCATGTGTGATTAAAAGCAATCTGTGAAAGAGCATGCGTGTGTGAAAAAACTAGAGTGTGAAAAACACATCACCCTGTAAAAGCATTTGCGTGTAAATGCACCTGTCACTGTGTGTCAAATGCATCTCTGTGTAACAGTGTTTGCGTGTAAAAGAACCTCTGCGTAAAAGACCTTGCGAAGGGGAACGAGATAACACAGTAGTAACACATGCTGAGCATGTACACATTCTTGCACGGGACGCCATTATGGCTCAAGACCCACTGCGAGGCCAAAATAACGCGCTCCGCTGCTGCATGGTTTGACAGCTCCGACTATCAGCACATAGGGAACCACAATCAAAAAAAAAGGGATAATCCAGAACAAGGATCAAATTGTTCACAGGTTATCAGCCGTAGGGCTCACTTCTCCCGTCGGGAGAGTGGTACCTGCGTGCTGGTAGCCGGGCCGTCTGAGCAATTGATTGAGGACGCAAAGGACCAATCAGCTCATCATCGCAAAGATGCAAGGCGGTAGCGGAGATTCGCGCACCACGCAGTTTACCTTCAACGAGAACACTGCCATGCCGGTCGAGGAGGTCAATCAGTCTTCCCCTGGTGACACGGCAGACAGTGGTGGGATACGCTCTACCCGAACCACACAGTCCGGATGGCAAGTAACGACAAACAGAAGAAGGATATCCACCCAAAGTACACCAAGATCTTCTCGAAACAGTCCTCGGAGTGATGTTGTCCGCCAAGGGCATCGACCATCTCGAGGACGAACTACTCCTAGGGACAGATCCACCAGGGCCGTGACTGACCGAATTGGTGAGAGGACCGGGGATAGTCGTGTTAAGAGGAGATCAACGGATACTTCTGTGGCTAGTGAACCTATTGCCATGATAGAAGAACTACGGGCACAATGTCAATCCCTACGTAGTCAGTTGAACCAAATGGAAGCATACGCCGCATCTAGAGATCAACTGATTCATGACATCGAGATTAGATTCACCGAGTATCTTCAGGAACACAACCAGAATGTATTTGATGAAGTCAGTGCACTCAATCATAGATTGTCACGTTCCGCGAATGAGGTTGCAGAATATCAAGCAGAATTAATGGTAGCATCTCAGGAAGATGAAGGTGCAACAATACGCATCCAAGACCTTGAGCGCCGAGGTGCCCTAATGGAACATGGTGCACGACGGATCCATCAACGTGGTATGGAGATCCAGGAGGAGTACAAGGATGAAGTACATCACCTTCAAGGACTATTGGGTAATACGGAGGCAAGACTTCAACAACTTCATCAAACTAATGTCTTAACCACCGATATTGCCAATCGACTATACAATGAAGGTCAGGAAATGCAAACAGATTTCCAGAACTCAATCATGGAATATCGTAATCGATCCGAAATGGCGTCCTTCTCTAGCAATCAACTTGAAGTGATTAGCCAACAACAGTCGATTGCAGTTCATGAACTATCTGAACGGAATCAACTATTGAGTGAAGCTTTAGTTCAGTCTCGTAAACAGGCCGAGCTGTATGAAAGCAGTATTGACGAGATCACTAGAGAATCTAGAAAGAAGGTTTTCGAGGCAAATCAGGCCAAATTAGAAAGTGATCTGAAGCATCGAAACACCGAACATGATACCGTCAAAAGAATTGCATCATACAGGAACCAAGAGGCCGAAGCGATATCACACCTGAGGCTTGAATCACAGGCCAGCTTGAATTCGATCGCGAGGGCCGAGCATTATGAAGAGCTCTACACCAATGAGCAGGAGATGAACTGCGAGTTAAAGGATGAGATCAAGTTGCAGAACACGAAGTTGCGGAGATCGTTGACTCAGGGTACTACGACCGACGGTCGTGGCCCCGATGAGATGCTTGTTGAAGATCTACGTAATCAAGCCAAAATTGCTCAAATTAGGGTTCAGGATCTAGATCATGAAGTTCATGAATGTTTACAAGAAAACATGTTATTGAAAGAAAGATTGGCTGAAGTTGCGGATGTAGGGACGTCGTCCCTCACCAATGCTGAGGTCCGAACTCTAAGATCTGAACTAGAGAGTGAGCGAAAATTGAAATTGGCTAGTGGTGTTCAACAATATGAGAGATCATGCATGTTCATGGGGGAAATCCAGGATAGGGATGAAAAGATTGGCATCAAGAATTCTGAGATTGTTGACATGAAACGTCACTTAGATGAACTGAGAAAAAGTCTCAAGGATTCTGAAACATCTATGGCTAGGATCAGTCCTGACACACTTCCCTATTCGGCAGGCATTCCCAACTCCGATCTCGCATCCAGACTGGTCATCGACAAACTGGAGAATGACGTGAGTGAGGCTAACTGTGAAAACGCTATTCTGAAATCTTGGGTTTCGCAGATCGACAAGGAGTTGACTTATGAGACAAATGTGGCTCATTCCTATCGTGGGCATGCTGTACCTCCTCAACAACAACAGCATTCTCAATCAAGCAAAAGAATCGCTGATCTGCTGAAAGAGGTTGACAACAAGATCGCTGGCGGAACTGAGAGGGACTATTACAAGCCACCGAGTGGATGGGGCGGTCCGCCTGACCCTGATGGACCTCCGGACCCTTTCGGGCCTAACGGCCCAGGACCACCTCCTGAACCTCCAGGTTTGCCTTCAGTTCGAAGATCACAACGCGATTCAGCAGATGATGTCTCCACAGCGGCTTACACTGCAGAAGAAGTACCGAGAATGTCAAGACGAGAGGCTGACAAAGTCTATGTTAGCCCATGGCCAAAGCAACAGAATCTTGGGGTTTGGCAATCAGATCTCATCAAGAGTGTTGTTCTTTCGGCAAATGACGGGGATAAAGCCGCATGGGAGGCA